GTACCCGGGGAGTAGCAAGGAACGGGGTACTGGAAGTGCCTCCTTGGCCCCGGTCACGTTTCACCATCTTGATGTTTTCCATCTGGAAAACAAGTATTTGGCTCTGAGAGGACCTGCAGACTGTCTGTGCTAAGCTAATTGTGTGTCTGCTGGGAAAGACGAGCGAAAACTACTCAGGTAGTTTGGTGTTTGGTGGTTTGTTTTTTTTTTCATTGTGAGAGTTTAGAAGGTGATTAAGCTGAACCAGCAGCAGCTGGAAGGGGTGATTCAGCATCGTTTTGTAACTGGTGCTTGCACTGTTGAGCACCTCAGCAGCGAGGCCCTGAATGAGAAAATTCTGATGGTAGGCTGCTCAGGCTTGCCTGGGGTCTCCCAAAGGAGACTGGGCTAATCCCGTTACCCCAGTCACCTGGGGTCTAGCAGGGAAATCTCATTTTCAAGCCTGGGAACAAGCATCAAAAGAATGTCAAAAGCTTGGTCTGAGAAACAGATAACATGACAAAAAGCCTCTGATATCCTGCCTGAAATGCAACGGACCACACTGGAGCACTTACAGGCAAACCTGTACAGGAGATTCTGTGCAAAGCAATCTAGTCTAGGGTGTTACCTGGCCTCCAAGGAGCTGATCTTCAATCTTCAATTTGGTCACCAAATTGAAGGCTAAGGTCCCGAAGCTCGTTGATGGGCAGAGATAACTCAAAGCAGAGGCCCAGCCTGTGGTCCCAGGCTGGCACAAGGGGGGAAGGGAAGAGGGGTTTGTTAGCCCCACAGGGGGAGATCTCTGATGCCTCCTCTTACCACAGGATTTGCCAAGAAGACTTTCATCTCCTACTCTGTCAGCTTTGGGAACAGCTTCCGGCAAGGCCGGGTTGTCGGCATAGACCCTGAGAGGCAACAAGTCTTGCTGAGTGATGGTGAGGTGGGTGATGCATGAACGCCCAATGAGCTTGCATGAACTTGTCTGCCTTATGAGATGACCTACTAAAGTGAAGTCAGCCTTCAGCAGGGCATGTTGTAAGTCTCTCCTCCTCGGGGCTTTTCTTCAGCTGTGTTGTGACTGTGAGAATGCAATACTCCAAATACAGGCTAAGCTGGCTTTGACTGGTGATGCCTGGTTGGAGAACTGACTTGGAATTTAGGTTTGGAGTCCTCTGGGGGGGAGGAAAGTGAGATGAGCAGGACCATAGAGCACGTGTGCCTCTGCGGTGTGTGTGTGCAGGACTGAGTCAGGCTCTGGGAAAACCAAAGAGGATCTTTGCCCTAGAGCTGGATGAGAGCTGGGAATGCTGTGCAGTTGTGCCAAACCCCTGTATTTCCTACACTGCGAGTCAGCTGAGCACACGAACCCTGACCAGTTCAATACTCCTAGGCTCAGAGTTCACATGCATAACAGGCTTCCTGTTCTGAGGTAACACTCATCTTGGCTGAAATGCCAACCTAAGCCCTCCAGGTAATCACTGATTGCTTTCCTCTGGGTTTCTGCCACCTGTGGGCAGATACATAAATCTTCATGCTTAATACTGACCCTGTAGCTCTAGGAGGTAGAGAGGAATGAAACCAATGACATGCTTCCATGGATGGCTGCCTCAGAGAGAAGCAAGCCCCCAGCCATCTCCTTTAAATGTGGGGAAAGACTGCAACATTTAATCACCCTGAAGAGCCTGGTAGCAGAGACCATCTTTCCCCACACACACTGAATGGCACCATCCCTCCTAGCCAAGCCGAGCAGCCTTGAGCTGTGGTGGGATGTGGGTGTGCACCAAGTACTGCACCCCACCTAGTGCTCAGATGAGCTTTTATTCTTAGAGCTGGATTTAGAGCTCAGCAATTAGCTTTGAGCTCAGGTCCTTATCTAACTGCAGGAAAAAACAAGGGCAGCAGCTCTGGTAACTCCTTTCAGCCAGAGCATCTCATCTCTGTTCGGAAGAAAGTGAAGAAGTGAAGGAGAGAAGTTAGTCTCTGGAGCCAGCTGTGATGGTGGCTTCAGTATCTGGAAAAAAAAAATCAAGTTATTTGCTTTAAGCTTATGGTAATTTCTGAAAGCTTTCAGCTTCTCTCAGACCCTGAAGGAGGCAGTTACTTGGTGTCATCTGGACCAGCTCTTTTCCTAAAGTCACTGACAGTGACAAGTACTCCTCTAGTTATCAGCAGGGGCTGAAGGAGGGGGAAATGAGTGAATAGTACCTTGGAGGCAACAACTGTGTGCTAGGCTCCGTTTTTAAGAGGTCTAACATCCTATTCCACCTTCTGCTCTCACAGGAGCTTCATTACTCCCACCTCATTCTCGCAACAGGCAGTGATGGACCATTCCCTGGGAAGTTCAACAAAGACATAGAGATGGAAAGTGCTATCCAGATCTATGAAGACATGATTAAGGAGGTAGGGAACCAATTTATTTCCTAGAAGTGTTGCCTGCCTTTGTTCAACTTCCCCATCTCAGTTACCACTACAGGTATCTGGAGCCATCTGTGTCTCAGAACAAGAGTCCACAATGCCTGCAGGGACAGGGCAGGATGAGGAGCATGTGCTAGCTTGTCTAGCATACTGTGGGACCCACCCGTCTGCACGAGGGGAAACGCTCAACAGTGTACACAAGAAGAGTGCAGGGGGCTCTTGGTTTTGGTTTCCTCTTAACAAATCAGGTGGTTTATTGCTGTATCTCAGAAGGGTCTGTTCAAGGAGTGCCTGAGCTTCCTGTACGTTACAGTTCTCTTGTAACATGATTTTCTTCTTTACTTGAAGATTGAGAAATCTGAGCGCATCGTGGTAGTGGGAGGTGGTGCCGCTGGAGTTGAGATGGCTGCAGAGATCAAAACAGAGTACCCTGCCAAAGAGGTAGTAGCATATCAGTTACAATTAAACTTCTTCCTTGTTTCTGAGACTGTTCTGTGACGGTCCTGCTGGAGGTATCCAAGATCACTGCAAATCAGGAGTTTCCATGCAATGGTAGCCTTCACCCCTACTGCCTCCTCTTCTGAGGGTACCCCGTAGCCTGTCACCAGCAAGTAGTGGCACTAGATGCCTTTCACTGGCTCACTCTCCATGGGCATTAAATGGGGTGGAAGGAATCCAGCTACAGCCGCTCCTGCCTAGCACACAGCAAGTCCTGTCCCATTCCTGTGTCCCCGTTTGGTGTTTTGTCCCCAACAGGTCATTCTCATTCACTCAGCAATTGCGCTAGCCGACGCGGAGCTACTAGATAGTGTCCGTCAGGTGGTGAAGGAGATTCTCCTCAGGAAAGGAGTGCGCCTCTTATTAAGTACGTACTTAACAATGCCTCTGAAGATCTAGATTCTGAAGCTCTCTAAGCTCCTCTTCCTTTAGCCAAAGCGTCTTTCTGCTGTCCTCTCTCTGACTTTTTTGACTGAGCGTGGCTCCCTTGAGTTCCCGTTTCTTTAGAAGCATCTGGGCGAGCTGGAAACGGCAGCCTAGTGAAGGCTGATCACCCAGGGCTCTCTGTCACAACAGGTGAAAGGGTCAGTGACGTGGAAAACCTCACGCCAAACCGTTTCCAGAAGGACATGGTAGTAAGGACAGAAAAGGGCACCGAGGTGGTTGCTGACATGGTGATCCTGTGCACTGGGATAAAGATTAACTCTTCAGCGTATGCTGCTGCATTTGGTAAGTGGAAAACCCCTGGGTGGGGAGAAGCCACACAGCACTTCAGTGTCTGGCACAGGAGTACTCTGAGTTTAGGAACCCACCTGCAGCAGTTATTCCATGGTACAGCAAATGCTCTCACACCACACTGAACACCTGACTGTAAAATGTGACCTTCCGAAACTTACAGACCACAGATCAGGTGGCCAACAGTCTTGTCCAGCTCCTTCTGCTAATACCTCCAAGGAACCATAGTGTCCTAGTTCAGTATGAGGCAGATGACACCTAGAAGTTCATGGTAACTCCTGCTGTCAAGGCCAGGATTTCATCCTTGATAAAAGCTTGTGGAGTTCTGAGCAAGAATAGGCTCAGCACATTCAGCATTCTTGCTGAACCATCAGAAAGTATGACAGAGAATTCAGCCAATTAGTTTTCCAGTGACACACTTTCAGTCCAAGTTCTCTTACAGCTCAGTTTCAGTTATGGCACTACTGCTATGGAGCAATATAACCATTATACATAGGAGAAGGAGGTTCAAACCCTCCTTCTCAGGCTATGTACACTAGCTCTTCCTGTTCCTTGATATTTCTACTGAAACACCAAAGGATGGTTCATTGCATGAGACTGCAATAATTAACTACAGCAAGGCAAAAAGTATCTCTTCCCTGACAAGAGGGTGAAAACCCTACATTTGTGTCAATGACATGCTTGATAACATCAGCAGTCTTTTGGGGTCTCGGGCCACAACAAGCAATGCAAAGCTCCTTCTGAAAACTTGCTGTTTGCCAAAACAGGGGACAAAATGGCAAGTAACGGTGCTTTGAAAGTTAACAAGCACCTCCAGGTGGAAGGCTATGAGAACATCTATGCCATCGGGGACTGTGCAGATCTGAAGGAACCGAAGATGGCCTACCATGCTGGGCTCCACGCCAACATCGCCGTGACAAATATCATCAACAGCCTGACACATAAGCCTCTTAAAACCTACCAACCAGGTAAGGTAATCTCCTAGCACCTGGGCTGCTTTTTGTACATGTACACATCAGAACTTGCAAATATCATCAACAGCCTGACACATAAGCCTCTTAAAACCTACCAACCAGGTAAGGTAATCTCCTAGCACCTGGGCTGCTTTTTGTACATGTACACATCAGAACTTGCATGGGACACTGATTAGAGGTGAAGGAACTCACAATTACAGTTGACTATATAAGCATATAGCTCAGGCTTCATCTTAGTTCTTGACAAAGACACTGTCAGTGTTAATTACCTGTCAGCCTACGGACGCCACGTGTCCTTCAGTAATGTCCTCCTGATAAATCTACTGGTGGGTGTCTGCTATTCATCAAACTTGTTTCCTTTTCTTTTAATTGCTTACTGCCCAAGTGAATCCGAAGATCAAGGAGATTACCTTCTCCTTTCTCCCTTTAAACTATACGAGCACAAACTGAACAATCTAGTCTCAAAAATCTAGCTAGGTGGTGGGTCTCATTAACAAGCAACTGATGTAAATGCTTACCATAACTGCGCTGAAAGCTGTTCCACATGGGTGGAGGATATCTGGAGAGCAGTTTGGATGTAGAGCTGCCCTCTCTATTTACATTTTTCTACTTCAGTTTTGTTGCCTACCTCTTGGGAGGAGATAATCATTCTACACCATGCACATAGCCCATTCCTTCAGCAAACCCATTACTGAAAGAAGTAGAGCAGGTGGTAGAAAGGAGAGAGTTGTGAATAGTTCTTGAGCCTGCTTCTTTCCTTCTCATGCAGCACATGGGTCCTGTGCTTAGCAGTATGTGTGGGTATGAGGCAGGGTTTGGAGGAAGTGCAACACCTACACGCAGTAGTGTTTGATACTTAGCTTTGAAACTGCTTCATTTAAACCTCTGCATCTTCTTTCCAGGGTCCCTAACCTTCCTGCTTTCAATGGGCAGGAATGATGGTGTTGGCCAGGTGAATGGTTACTACGTGGGACGTCTCTTGGTGACCATTGCCAAGAGCCGGGACCTGTTTGTCTCCAAGAGCTGGAAGACGATGGGACAGAGAATGCCCTGTTAAGAGGGGATCAGTAACAAACCAGCAAGGAATACAGCAACTGGCAGAGGGTGAGGGTGTGCTTTTGTTGCTGGTACAGACTGGTACTGTCTCCTGAGCACCTCCTAAAGCCACCCATCAGTGTGTGGCATTACATGGGTGCCCTGCCTTGCTATAAAGGGGAAAGAGGCACTTTCCAAATGATGTGCACAGAAGCTCTTACGAGAAAAACCAGGGAAGGAATGTTTCTTTTACTTTCCTGTTGAGATAGCCCTGAGCAAGCAACTTGATTTACCTTGATTTGTAAAAATAAACACTGTGGTTTTCAAAAATCTCTGCTGTTTGTTTGTTTGTTACGTGGTTTCTCCTTGGCTTTCTCTACTCTTGCTCTTCTAAAACATCCCTGCCTCTTGCAGGTCTGGAACCTGCTCTGCAGCATGCAGGAAGAACGACTCCCAGTACTGCCTAAAGCCTCAAAGAGGCTGTGGTAATCCTGGAACTCAGAGCATAATGCAGCTTTGTGTCAAAAGCTCCACAGCAGCTTTAATTATGTCTTTTATAGCACTATACTTCAGCCAGAAGAGCTCCTTAGTTGTACAAGCTCTTAATTACAGATGCTGCTGCTGTTTTTTCTTTTCTTTTTTAAGGTGAGAAATTCCCAGACCAAAAGTTGGATTTATAACAATAACCACGCTTGACACGTCTTTTTCTTTTTTTCTTATAAAACAAACAAAATCACCATGAAATAGTCTCAGTAATTACAGAGATTATTGTGAGTTAAAAGCAAAACAGAAGCTCCTCATGCATCACTTCTAAAATCCTTTTCCCCCTCTCTGTGGGCTGGAGGCAGAAGTTTACCCTCAAAGGAGGGGGAAAAGGCAGCAGAATATTTTTAAGAGCTTTCTTTAGAGTGTGTGCGTGTGTCTGAAAAATTCATCGCTACAAATCTAAAATGAGGTTACTCTTTAAAAACTTCTAAACTAAAGTAACAAGGGACACTAAACTCCTGAAAAGAGATGGTAACTCAATTGCTTAAGGTGATATAAATGGCTAGAGGATGCTGATAGCATGAAGAAATCTGACTAAACCCCTCTCATCTCTAGTCACAGCTCTTCATCAAGTCACAACACATCACACTACTACCACTCCCCCTCCTCATCACATTGAAAAAATAAAACCCACCTCTAATGTTTTAATGCTACTCAAGTTTGTTGAAAAATAAAGTTTCATTTGGCTGCCGTTGCTACTTGGTGTCTAGCTTGGCCATTTCTTGCACGTAGATGCCAATACTTTCACTGTCGAAGAGCAGAAAGTAAATGTTCTTCAAGGAGGAAGAGCTGGTGCCATCAAAATGGGTGGAAATAGCTCTTAGAGTCACCTGGGCTGCCGTCTGTTTTGGGAAGCAGTTTCTATGTGGTAGGGGAAGAAAACAGAGCAAGTGAGTGTCAGCTGCCTGCGCCAAAAACTACACACACGTGCTGCTGGAAGGAACAAGCTGGAGCTATACCAACTACAGGCTGCTGTTCAGAGAGTGCCAGCTCCAGTTTGGCAATGTGTAAAGCCCAGAAGCAAACCCCGAGGTTTTGAAAACCATATTCATCTGCTGCTGTGTTAGTCTCCTTGCTGGCATAGTTACTGTTTTATCTGATTCTTCTTTTTATAACCACACAAAGTTTTTTTAACGCTCTCCCTTAGAATTAAACTTTTCCATGCCATGCTGGGCAGGCTAAAAAGTTCATAGGATTATGTTTTTTAGCTGAAAAATGAAAAAAAACCCAAACCAACAACATCAGCCACTTAGCTGAATTCCTCATTCTAACATTAAAAATACTTTGAGACTTCAGTGAAAATAATTGCAATTACAAACCCAAGCCAAATTAACACCAAGACACATTAATTCATTTATTTTGATGGTAATATTCTCTAACCTACAATCTGAAAAGCTAAAAGCTACCAGTCTTTACAGTAAGTGGGCTCTCCAACTGTGCTGACACCTCTTGGGGTACCTGGCCCACATCCTTGAGATTCAATTTTTTTGGTAGCAGCATTTTTTCCATCTTAATCATTCTCATATTCCTTTTTCAAGTCACAAAACCACCCAAGCTGCAACAGGGTTCCTTCACCATCACCTCCACGTTACAAGGGAAGCAGCTGAGAGCACATTGCAAAGAGCACAGTTACTATGAAGATCAGCTGCTGGAGTTTCTCTGCTGCCTGACAATGCTTCTAGTAGTTCTGCTGATGTTGCACAGCACTGAAAAGTGTCAATGCAGTGCTCCATGAGCATGTAGGAAGCTCCGCACCTGAAAGTTTGAAGGAGACTTCACTGGGACATACTGAATACTTTAAAGGTGAGTTAAGACCCAGAGGAGGTTTCAGATGGGTCTTTGGGCCTAACTGCTGCTCTTGAGTTTAATGGCTCCTAGTTAGATTCTACAGGTGATAATGCTCCCGAGGAAGCAGGATCTGTGGAAAAAAAGCTGGCCAGCACAACCTAGCCCATGCCATCCCTCTGAGGCAGGATTACATATAACTTTCTGCTTTTGGAAAAATGTTTGTCTATAACCTATACTTAAAAGATCTTTAGTGATCTAAATCACTATATACAAAGGGCCAAATCAGAATACTCAAATAAGCCATCCCAGTGCCTAACACTCCTTACCCTTGAAAAATTATGGTATTTCTTTTAATAGCATCCAGAGGCGCCTCTGCAGTGGGTTTTTTTTTAATCTTTTCCCCCCTCTCTGGTAGCACCAAGAGGTGCATTTGGGTTTATTTTCCTAAGTTCAGTACTATTCGTTGCTTCTTACTCAATTTCACGTTAGTGATTTCAGACTACTTACTTATATTAAAAGCCATCCAAAAAACGAGCTTGGAAACTAGCAATCAACAATTTCTTTATCCATATTCAATGGAATCCAAATGATTACTAGCAAACAAATTTTCCTGGTTTTAGTCTCTGGACAGCACCTGGAGCAGGCCAGCTAATACACCTTTCTAGCAGCAAACTATCGATAAGGGCTTTTTGGAAATCTTTTTCAGTTCATTTATCTCTGCTTCAAAGCACAAGTAATTTCCTCTAAAACTGCACTTCCCTACTTTTTATTAAGAAGACCATAGAGGTGAAAAGCCCTGGCACAACTGAGACATCAGTTACTGTAAACAGTCCCTAAGATGGGGACTTCCCATCATCCTAAGAGGAATGATGAAAAGTCACAGAGCTGCTACCACGTACCAACCAAACCAGTGTTTCTTGTGCAGACATTCAGGTGAAATAAAATGACAGCAAAACCTTTATGTTTTATTTGAAAAACTCTGCCTTTTTTTCAGACAGCTTTGAGGTCCTTTGATAAATCAATTGTAAACCAGCAGCATCTGGAAAGACTTACTCTACTTTCTGTTAGCAGGAGTAACTGTAAGAGCAACAGAGAGTGAAACGGAACCAGGCAGCAGTAGGATCCACACTAAGACTAATGCTCCAGGACTGGATAAGTTTTAGGTAACACTCACAGGAAACATGAGGGCTAGAGAGACTATTTCTGTTGTCATTAAAAGCTACAGTTCATTTTTGAAAGCTCAACATCATTATTAAAGAGTGGTGAAGCAATTTATCATATTTTCCTTTAACTAAACACTATAAATAAAAAGATGCGTGTATAAAGGATGAAAAATCATCACAAATTGTACTGCCTCTCTATTTATTTTTTGGTCCTGATCCACCAAAATATTATTTTGTCTTGAAAAATGTCTGTGTAAAAATGGCATTTTCACCTCCTGCCTATTCAGTGATGTGTGGTGATTTCACTCATCAATATACATTTTCACTTTCATTTTATTCACTACCAGACCAACACAACTGGACTGGACAATGTGCTCTTTGGGCATTACTAACAAAATCAGTAGTTACATTCAAAATTAAACACAAGTAGGTGAACTCCAAGATGAAAGGACAACTTCTGCAGTTAGCAGGGCTTGTGTAAGGTTTCTTGTGGTCAGAGACAAAGCAAGATTAATGAACTGTTGGTTTAAAAAAAAAAAAGAAAAATAAAATAAACCTTTGGATTTCTTAGTAAAACATATTTTATTTGCTAGTTATTCATAAAGAAATGTGTAGTTTCACAGTTGGTTTCATAGTTTCCTTTTAAAAGCAGAACTGTAGTTGAGAAACACTGATTTTCTTTTGAAAGAAACCATTTTGTATGCCTAGTCTATTTAATATATATTCTTGGGATGACTTAAGTGAATACCTTACATTTACCTAGCTCAGGCTGTGTCACTGGTGCTTGCCTTCACTATTATGCTGCTATAATCTTATTAGTACAAATGTGGGTTTGGTAAGCTTCACCACAGCAAAATGAAGGGACATAAGTGAGGTGGTGCTTGTCCATGGTAGAAGACTGAAAATTACTGCCTAGCAATAGAAAACACAGTAAATCAGCTCTGCTCTCCCATGGGCTAGCTAATTTCTCAACATAAAGGCTTCCTGGCCATCCCATGCAAACACTGCACTTCAAGCTCCTTTAATCTGGAGAAGTGTGGTGTCAGAAAGCACCAGCCACAGCCCACTCTGAAGACAGGGTGTCACAGACCAGAAGGTACCCCTGTTGAGAGGGTCCCTCTCTGACAGCCAGTTATACCATTGCTACCCAATAAAGAATCTTCCTGTGCAGAAAGAGTCATACCTGCCACTGGGAAATGGGGGGAAAGCCACTGACTTCAACTTCTTGTCTTCTGCAGCTGTTAAGCAGTTCTTTATAGTCTCTTCAAGCTGCTCTTCACACTTGTCCGAGCCCCACTGTGGGATGTGACAGTGGATGACAAACTTTGCTGCTAGGCCGCTAGACTGAGTGAGTGCAGCTAACACAAACGAAAATATAACATTTAGTTTTGAATAGAAACCACCCTGAAATGACCTCTCAACCCAACGTACTTTCTATATTACATCTCCTCACCAAAGAAACATGTTAGGAATTAAAATATACCACAAGGGCTCACTTGCAGTTGTAATCTGGTGGTGTCATAATTACTTTTGTGATCACTTGTTATTTCTTTGGAGACCAAAGAACCCACGGCTCATTTGGTTAACCCACAGTTATTCAATGATACTTTATAGCTTTCTGTTTCAGCGTGGCCTCTGGATTTGTTTCATGCCAAGTACCCAAACCTCACACCAAACACAGCATCATTAATCCCCCAGCAGACCTTTCTGCAGTGCTGTCAGAGCCTTATCTGAATGCTTTGCACAAATACCCTGCATCATCGTTACAGCTCCGGAGTGTTCAGGAGTAATATTCAGACTCATTTCACAGCTGGGTAATTTCAGACAAC